CTATGTTAGGTTGCTAACGATTTATCGTCTGAGTTTGATTTATGATTCTGATCGTAAGATATGACCATCCTGGCTCCATGATTGTGTTACTGAAATTTCACATTAATCGGACGCGATCTCACCGCTGATCTTCCATTGGATTCTCTTAGAACTTTTAGTTGTTGATTATTATCTTAGACTCAGAATTTGTAAGATCCAACACCAAAAATGGATTCTACACGTCGAAAAACCTAAGGGTGGTCATCTCCAAAGTCATAGGACCACTCGATTAACCTAAATGTACTAGGATGCACCGTAGCACCATGAGCTGAGAAATGCTGGATAAAATTTAGTTCATCTTCTCCAACTGCCGCAGCATGCACGACAGAAAGACTAGAAATTTAGTTTCGATGCCACCAGTTCAAAAACTTATATCTTCTTCATCGTAACTCCATTTTATCTTATTTTTCTGTCATTGGATTTACCGCACGGCCTAGTTTTTGGTTCACTACTCGCACGCCTCGTTCCGTCTCTTTTTGCATGCCATCGGATCTCTAAAATTTGACGAAAAATTAGATTTTTTTCCTACCATCTCAGACATTTCTTCGAACCATCTTTCGAACTGCATAACTTTCTTAATTCTTAACGGTTTTACTTCATTCTTTCGCCAATCTCTTCAACTTACTTCGTACTTCATCTTACATGACCTATTTTTCTCACTTCTTCCCAAAATGGATGGTTTTGGCATGCCGAAAGAAAGCCAAAAACCAACTTTTAAAATTTAAAATAAACTTCTCTAACTTTGTTTCTTTCTCCCCCATCTTCATTCTTCTTCTTCTCTTTCTTCACCTACAACACGTTGTGAATGGTGGTTCAAGATGATAATGGAATTAGGTGGTGGTGGTGGTGGTGGTCCGACGGTGTGCCGGTGGTGGAGAAGTTTGCGGTTTGGTGATAGTATGGGTTAAGGCCGTGGCTATCACTACAAGAAAAAGCACTATTGGCGACTAAAAAATCACTTTTCGTCGCTGAAAGTATAGCATTTGGCGACTAAAAATGCATTAGTAGCCAAAAGTGGTGATTTTTGGCGACTAAAAAAATTTAGTAGCCAAAAGTATGGGTTTTGGTGACTAAAAATATGTTTGGTCGTCGATATATGGCTTTTAGCGACTAAAAAAATTTTAGTAGCCAAAAGTAGGGCTTTTGGCGACTAAAAAAATTTTAGTAGCCAAAAGTGAGGCATTCGGCAACTAAAAATGTGTTTGGTTGCCAAAAATGAGGCTTTTACCGAGTAAAAAAATTTTAGTAGCCAAAAGTAAGGCCCATTGGTGACTAAAAAAAAATTAGTAGCCAAAAGTGAAGCATTCGGCGACTTAAAACATGTTTAGTAACCGAAAGTGAGGCTTTTTGGCGACTAAAAAGAAGTTTAGCCGCCAAAAGTGGTAATTTTAGCACGGAAATTTTTTTTTTAATGACTAAAAAATAATTAGTAGCCAAAAGTATAGAATTGGCGACTAAAATTATGTTTAGTCGCCAAAAGTGGTGTCCTTTTTTTCTACTAAATAATTTATTTTTACATAAATTATGTTCAATAAAAAATAATTATGTTTACATATATACTTTGATATTAATACGGGTCTAAGTACTATATAAATAATATATGTTGCATTTATAATCATATGATGTTATGGAGGCATAGTGGAAGGAGTGTGTTGTATAAGGTTTATGGTGTGGGAGGTTGATGGTTCGAATATCCACAAGAACAATGTGTAATTTTAATTTTTTTTCAGAATGAGCTTTTGCCAACTAAATCTGTTTGGTCGCTGATTCCTTGAGTTTTGACAACTAAAACATTAGTCAGTAAATGTATAATTTTAAAAAATATAATTGACTATTGGAGACTAAAAATTTAGTCGCCAAATGTATAATTTAAAAAATATAATTGACTTTTTAGTCGCCAATACCTTTCCAAATAAATTCTTCCATCCTTTCTATAATGGTATGAACTACACATGCAAGCTAGTCGGGGAAACTTAAAAATCGACTTTTGGCGACTAAAAATTGACTTTTGGCAACTAAAAATTTAGTCGCCAAATGTGTTTTTTCTTGAGTGTATGGAGGTCGAGAGGAGGAGGAAGAATATAGAGGTGGAGAGAAAGAGAGGGAACCGAGAGAGATGGAACTGGAAGTGAAGAGAGGTGAGGAAAACTTAGGCTCAATTTATGGGCAAAATGAGAAAGAGTAAAAGAAGAAAGAAATTAAAAAGAATGGATAAAAGGAAATGGAACAGCTGGTGTATATAGCATCTGCATGTCCACCACATTTTCTTTTGATCTAGAAAATGATTGCACGTGGAAGGTGAGAGGTGAGAAAACATGGGGAGCAAACCTATGGTTTTTTATTGGGTTTTAGTACAGAAAATATTACGTTCCAGTGTAATTTGATTACAAAAAATATATAAAGAAAAATTTAATAAAAATATCATACGGTTCAGAAATTAATATTGAGTAATAATATAAAGTCAAAAATATTTTATTTTATTTTATTTTGAATAAATTTTCAGTATAAAAATATATAGACAATTAAATTCAAAATATTGTGAATAATTATTTAAGAAAATTAAAAATATACATATTATTTTTATTATATAAAAATACGGGGTTTCACAACTTCTATGGGAGCTTCTTTCTCTTCCTTCACCTCTTCCCACTCCCTCGTGAGTGACTAGTCTTCCAGTTTTAGGGTTTTGATGAAACCCTAGCCATGTAAAGGAAATTTTCTTAAGCTTTGATTGTGAAACGGTTTGAATAAATATATGGATGTTTTAGAATTTTATAATATTTTTTCTTTTCATATCTTTAAGTGCTTTATTCTCTATGATTGTTTAATACTTTCCATACATTAGTTTTCTTTGTGTGCGTGTTCAAAGTATGAGACGAGTCATGCTACGAGAGATGGGCTGTGTTACTACTATAGTTTAGAGCAAACGCCTCATGCTACTTGAGATGACTCGTGCCTGTACATTGAACACAACAATCCTCTTGATCAATGTTTCAAACTTGTAGTTGTGAAATATTGGGTAGTTCAAATCGGAGCGCAATTGATTGCCGATGTGTATGTGTGTGTGTGTATTTTTCTTTCATAACTTAGTGCCAAGAGTTAGAACTTAGTGTGTGTGTGTGTGTGTGTGTGTGTGTGTGTGTGTGTGTGAGTAGTGTGTGCATGGGCGTCGTTCTTGCCGCCCTAAATTGTGGAAATTGGACCTTGAACTAGAAAGGACTCTTAGGAACCTTAACGCCTCTTTCTGTGTTCTTAGGCTTGAATATCCAGATCCATATCTATATCTTGAACCATTAGGGATAGCGAACCCAAATGTCTCGAATGGGCCCAACCGGATCCTTAAGGATTACTTCACACCCACTGCATATACATCACCATCATGCATTCAGTTACCGGACACCACAGCTGCTCATTATGAGATTAAGTCTAGCACAATCCAAATGCTCCCATCATTCCATAGACTAGCTCATGATGACCCTTATAAACATCTGCATGAATTTCTGGAAATTTGTTCTATAGTGAGATCCAGAATTTCACCAATGAGTCCCAAATGTTGCGATTATTCCAATTTTCACTGAAGGACAAAGCCAAACACTGGTTGAACTCCTTACCTGCTAATACTATCACAACTTAGGACCGATTACAGCAGAAGTTTTTAGAGAAGTACTTTCCCATTGGTAAGACCAACCAACTCAGGCGAGCCATCACCAATTTTGCTCAAATTGATGGCGAGCAATTTCATGAGACATAGGAGAGACTTTGTGACCTTCTCCAACAATGTCCCCACCACCAAGTGCCTGATTGGCAGCTTGTTTAGACGTTTTACTATGGCTTAATTGAGCCTCATCGCCAAGTGGTGAATTCTTTTTGTGATGGGACATTTATGTCCAAAAATGACGCCGAGGCATGGTAATTATTTGAGAACCTAAGTGATAATTCCCTGCACCATGCCTCCGTAGACCGACAAGTCTGACAACTGATAGTTAGAGCCCCGAAAAGAGGGGGCATTTATGAGGTAGGGCAAAACCTAGAAAAAGCCCAACAAGTAGAGGCATTGTCCCACAAATGGACCAATTATTAACTTCGGGACATGCCTTTGCACAGCAAGATCAGCCTCAATTTCACGAGACATGTGCTATTTGTGCGAGCCCTGCCCATGACTTGAGTGAGTGCCCTTCGACATCATAATTTCCGGAATTAGTCTAAGAACATGTGAATGCGGCAAGGATTCTCTAACCTAGGTAATGACCCATATTCTAACACCTATAATCCGGGATGGAGAAATCACCCTAATTTTTCATGGAGACCTCCTTCACAAAGCACTTCTTACAACCCTCCACCACCAAGTTAGAATTTTAATAATTTTGCCAACCAATCTTCCTACCGACCACCAAAACCTTACCGACCACCAAAACCTTGCCGACCCCCACAACCTTACCGGCAACCACAACCCCCGCCTGTTTCTCAAGGTAACTCTGTTTTTGAGACTTAGGTATTGGAAGTTCTCTAAGAGCTTAAGGGGTTAGCACTAGTAGTTTACTCACATACTCACTTTATTGCCAAGCTAGAGGCTCAATTAGGTTAAATAGCTAACAACATGAATAGGAGAGAGGAAGGAAAATTATTGAGTCAGACTATGGCCAACCCTAAAGGTCAATATGGGGCAGAAAGGTGAAATGGGAATGGAAAGCACCATGAACAAGTGCAAGCGGTGATCACTTTGAGAAGTGGGAAGGAGTTAGAGCCTCGGTATTTTTGTCTGATGCAACTAAGGCTAAAAAGGGTGACCATGGTGGTCAACCCAATGAGAGCAAGGGTGGGGGAGAAACACCTAGAGGGATGACTTAGTCCCTAGTACTTCACATGAGCCTGAGGCACCATATGTTCCTAAGGCCCCCTTTCCTCAATGCCATGATACACCATCTCCTTTTAATAAGAAGGCGACATCTATGGAAACGATGATGGAGGTCTTTAAACAGGTGAAAATTAACCTCCCCCTGTTGGAGTCGATTAAGAAAGTACCCTCCTATGCTAAATTTTTGAAGGACCTTTGTACACAAAAACGTAAATCTAAGACCCACGTGTCCCAAAAGGTCGTACTCACGGAGCATGTAAGCTCCATCTTATTGAGTGACACACCCCCTAAGCTTAAAGACTCTGGTGCCCCAACCATTGTATGCATTATAGGGGACCATTTCATTGATAGAGCCTTGTTAGATTTAGGGGCTAGTGTCAATTTGTTGCCGTACTCTGTGTACGAGAAATTTGGGCTTGGCGAGTTGAAGCCCACTATTGTTACTTTCCAGTTGGCTAACCGGTCCCTCAAAGTGCCACATGGCATGATTAAGGATGTGCTAGTACAGGTCGATAGGTTTTATTTTCTTGTTGACTTTTTGGTTTTAGATATGGAACCGGTAGCCAGCTCTAGGAAACAAATCCCGGTGATCTTAAGTCGACCTTTCTTGGCTATGGCCAACATATGCATAAATTGTCATACCAGGGTTACGGATGTTTCATTTGCAAATATGCAAGTGAAACTCAATGTTTTCCAAGCATCCCAATAACCCCATGAAAGAGAGTGTTTGTTTGTGGATGTTGTGGATAGGATTGTGGAGGAGGCTTTACCCTCCATTCTTGTAAAGGACCCTCTAGAGTCTTGTCTAGCTCATTTTGGGTTTGAAAATTTTGATATTGTCGGGTCAGATGAGGAGGTAAACGCCTTACTTAATTCTTCTTCTACATCGGATTTTTCTCTGTAGAAAGCCCGATTTGAGTCCCTTTCTACTTTGTCTCGAAAGCCGACCATACCATCCTTAGTCACAGAACCTACACTTGAGTTGAAGCCACTCCCAGCTACACTCAAGTATGCATTTTTAGGGCCTCAAGATACTTTACCAGTCATCATTGCATCTGACTTGACTGCAGAGTAGGAGAGTCAATTAATGAGTGTTCTCGTGGCACATCGGAGTGCTATAGGGTGGTCGATGGCTGATTTGCAAGGGATAGATCCCTTCGTGTGCATGCATTATATACATTTAGAAGAGGACACCAAACTTTCTCTTGAAATGCAACGGAGGCTTAATCCTAATATGAAAGAGGTGGTGAAAAATGAGGTGTTGGAATTGTTAGATGCGGGTATTATATACCCCATCTCGGATTGCAAGTGGATGAGTTCCACACAAGTGGTGTCCAAGAAATCGGGTATCACTGTTGTTGAGAATGAGCAGGGAGAGTTGGTTCCCACATGAACCACTGCTGGGTGGTGAGTGTGCATTGATTATAGGAGACTAAATTCCATGACTAGAAATGACCATTTTCCTTTGCTATTTATTGATCAAATTCTTGAAAGGTTGGCGGGGTAGGGTTTTTATTATTTTCTTGATGGTTACTTGGGGTATAATCAAGTCCTGGTGTACCCCGCTGACTAAGAAAAGATCACATTCACTTGCACTTTTGGTACTTTTGCTTATAGGCGCATGCCCTTTAGCGTATGCAATGCACCGGTGACTTTTCAACGGTGTATGATGGCCATTTTCTTCGACATGGTGGAGAAATTTTTACAGGTTTTCATGGATGACTTCTCCATGTTTGGGTCGTCTTTTGAGGAATGTCTCTAGAACTTAACTAAAGTCCTTATTCATTGTGTGGAGACAAACCTGATTTTGAGTTGGGAGAAGAGCCATTTTATGGTTCGCGAGGGTATAGTGTTGGAATACATTGTGTTCCCTCGAGGTATAAAAGTTGACAAAGCTAAGGTTGATCTCATTGTAGGCCTTTCTTCACCCATTTCTGTGCTTCAAGTTAGGTTTTTCTTAGGGCATGTAGGTTTTTACCATCGATTTATCAAAGACTTTAGCAAAATATCCCGTCATTTATGTAGTTTACTTGCTAAGGACGCACCTTTTATCTTTGATGATGCATGTTTGAAAGCTTTTGAAACACTTCGAGTGGCCCTTTCTACTGCCCCTATCATGCAATCTCCTGAGTGGTCCCTTCCGTTCGAGATTAATGTGATGCATCTGATTATGTCTTTGGTGTCGTCTTGGGCCAAGGGGTGAATAAAGTGCCCCACGTTATATCCTATGCTAGTCGTACTATTTCTGATGCTCAATTAAACTGCACTACCACTGAGAAAAGTTACTAGCTGTTGTCTTTGCACTTGACAAGTTCCAGTCCTACCTCCTAGGGTCTAAAGTCATTGTGTTCACTGATCATGCCACTTTGCAGTACTTATTGTCCAAAAAAGAGACCAAACCTAGGTTGATTCGGTGGATTCTACTCCTTCAGGAGTTTGACCTAGAAATCCGAGACAATAAGGGATTTGAAAATGTAGTTGCGGATCATCTATCCCGAATCTTTATTGAGCACACGAGTGATCCCTTAGCCTTGCATGACTCGTTTCTAGATGAACAACTTCTTGCGGTATCACAAGTGACCCTCTCGTGGTTTGCTCACATAGTAAATTACTTGGTGGTTGGTCAAATTTTGAAAACTTGGTCTAAGCAAGACAAAGACCGATTTTTCTCACAAGTCAAGCACTATTTCTGGAAGACCTAGAATTGTTCAAACATTGTCCAAATCAAGTGATTCGACGTTGTGTGCCTGAGAGTGAAACCCATAGCATTCTCACCTTTTGTCACTCTCATGCATGTGGTGGCGATTTCAGTGGGCAGAAAACCGCCACCAAGGTTTTAAAATGTGGGCTCTACTGACCTTTTATCTTCAAAGATGCCCATAACTTCTACAGAGCTTATGAGCGTTGTCAATGCATGGGCTCTATGTTACGGTGAGATATGATGCCGATGACCCCTATTTTGATTGTTGAGATTTTTGATGTTTGGGGCATCGACTTCATAGGTCCCTTTCCACTATCTTTTGGATTTAAATACATTTTGGTGGCTGTGGACTATGTCTCCAAGTGGATTGAGGCAGTGGCTACCAAAACGAATGAACACAAAGTTGTGGTTAAATTCCTCAATGAGATCATTTTTTGTCATTTTGGGTTCCCTCGTGCCATAATTAGTGACGGTGGCAAACATTTTTGCAACCAATTCTTCGAGGCATTAGTGCGCAAATACCTGATCACTCACAAAGTTGGCACTCCCTATCATCCCCAGACTAGTGGTCAAGTAGAGGTTTCTAATAGGGAGGTTAAACATATCCTCGAGAAAACTGTGAGGCCCGATAGGAAAGATTGGTCCACTAGGTTGTTTGATGCACTTTGGCCCTATCGCACTGCATATAAGACACCCATCGAGATGTCTCCATATAGGATTGTGTTCGGGAAATCGTGCCATCTCCCTATTGAGTTAGAACACCGGGCTTTGTGGGCCATTAAGAAGTTCAATTTTGATATGGCCAAAGCTAGTGAGCATTGAAAACTCCAACTTAATAAGTTAGAGGAGCTCCGCAATGATGCATATATGAGCTCCAAAATTTACAAGGCTAGGACTACGGCATTTCATGATAAACACATTTCTCATAAGTCCTTCGAGCATTACCAAAAAGTGTGACTGTTCAATGCCAAATTGCGTTTGTTCCCAGGTAAACTCCGGTCTCGGTGAGATGGCCTATATGAGGTTATCGAAGTCTTTCCACACGCAGTGGTTAAGATTAAAAATCCACAGGATGGCACGACCTTCAAGGTCAATGGCCAAAGATTGAAACATTATGTTGATGGTATTGAGAAAGGGGAGATGATTGAGGCTGTCCACTTGACGGACCCAATATATCTTTCATAGTAATTGCTTTGAGTTTATGAGACTTTAAATCCTCTAAAGGTGTAAATCCTTTGGTGTTTTCCGTGCCCGAATGGCATCTGACGGTCCAGTATAGCCACCTAACTGTGTTTGTAGTGAGTTCCTAGGAGACCAATTAAGATGGTGGAAACTAGAGTTCGAATAACAAAGCCTAGAACACAAAGGTTTGGAATTTCCGAAACTAAAGTCTAGTTTAAATACCTAGAGGTGTAGAGATTGCTTTAAAACCATTCCGTCTTGAACTTTGTATGGCAGCCCCATAGGTCAAGTTAGCTTTAGGCGATTCAATTCTAGATACCAAATCAACCTAGTCTATTACCCCGTTAGAGAATAGGAAAAGTTGCAAACATAGTTAGGGAAAAAAGTAGTACCCGTGGTTTTTCGCGTGAAGATTATACCTTTGTTAAGTATTTTGATGTTTTTGAAGTGCTATTTTTATTTCAGATGTGCATTAAAGGTAGAAATGGTTAATTTATTTTTTTTTTTTAGGGTTGTAATTGTGTTTGAATTTAAAAATAACAAATAATAAAAAAAAACACAAATTGGGTTATAATTGGGTTTCTAATTTAAAAAAAAAAAGGTTGTAATTGTGTTTAAAGAAAAAAAAAGAAAAGACAAGAGCAGCAGACCGCACGTGCGGCCCACACGGGCGCATGAGCAGAGGTCCCAAAATTGGGATCCCGAGTAGAGGCCCAGAACGCACAAGCGGCCCAGGCCCAAGAGCACACTACGCGAGTGCCACTGGGGTGGTCCGAAATTTAGCGCTCGTGCGGCCTACATTGGTGCACGAGTTAAGGCCCAGGCCGCACTAGCGACCCAAGCCCAAATGGCTATTCCTTGAACGCCGTTGGAGCGGCCCAATTCTGTCGCACAAGCGGTTCATAATTCACTGCATGTGCGGCCCAAACGGGCGCACAAGCGGCCCATTCCAAAAAAAATAAATATAAATAAATAAATAAAATAAAATAATAAAAAATAAAAAATAAATCCTGCAGATTTTGTTTTTATTTACTTATTTTATATTTCTTCAAAATAAATAAATAAATAATCGTGCATCCTATTTGTTTACTTATTTATTTATACTAATTTTATTTCTCTTTCAAAAAAAAAAAAAAACCTCTAAGCCAAACCCTAGACCCTCTTTTGACCATCACCCAACTACACTCTCTCTTTACCTCTCATCATCTTCTTCTTCTTCTCTCTCTCTCAACCCCACAAACTCACAAATCACTCAAAACCTCATTGTCATCACACTACCGGATTACTTTTATTTCAATTTTTTATTTATTTAGAGAAAGTAAAAATAAAATAAATAACTAACTTAAAGGAAAACAGGCAAACCAAATTATGAAATAATGGTTCCCCATTTTTGGTTGTGTTGGTTATATTATTTTGTGCAGATATGTCTACATCATCCCACTGCGCACCCAAAGGGACTCGCAATGCTAACATCGTCGCTAAGGATTTACCAACCGACACTTGGGCCAAGAAACCAATTGCCTGTGATACACCCTTTGATGTGGACTTCTTCCAATGCCATCAACCCACCACGTGGAATGTCCGACAACTTGAAGATTGGGGCCTCTTGGGCATCTGCACCATCACTGAACCGGCGTACCCTCGCATTGTGCGAGTCTTTTATCAAAACATGTACATCAGTGATGAGGCCCTGGGAGCTTTGTTGTCCATTGTTGATGGGGTGGAGTTAATGGTCACACTAACTTCCATTGCCTAGGTTCTCCACTGTTCCATGGACAGTATCAATGAAGATCAGTTCTCGGTGTTCACTTGGGAACTCACAGTCC